ACCATTCTGTGATTCTGTGACATGTTGCAAACAAGGCAGCATTATGTTCTTTATGCAACTGGTATTAAGAAATTAATTTTTAAAGAAAGCAAGTGGGAAATGCTGAAAAACAATGCAGTGGGAGAAATGATGGAAAATATTTACGTAAAGAGTGCTTACATATTGGGTGTTTAATGGGACCTACATGAAAGCATGAGGTACAAGAAACCTTAAGAACAATATATAATCCAGATTTAGTTAGGTACAAATACCAGGCAAATTCAATGGGAATAATGCACACAGTCCTCTAGCCATTCAGAATTATAAGTCAGTACAAGTGACATCTCCCTTTAACAGCTGAAACAGGAAGGGAGGAAGAATATTACAGCAAACTGAAATTCCACAGAGAATCTCATTATGAACATAATTAGCCAACTGGAAATTAGGCATAAAATTTTTGTGGACACGACTGAACTCACCAATATCACACCTTACTTGGAGGAAGATTACTACAGCGAACTGAAATTCCAGAGAATCTCATTATGAACATAATTAGCCAACTGGAAATTAGGCATAAAATTTTTGTGGACACGACTGAACTCACCAATATCACACCTTACTTGAAGGGGTGCTCCTTTAAACAAGGCCTGACACTTGCTTGGTACAACTCAATGAAGACTAATGGCACATACATCACTGGCTACTGTAGCTGGTGTTAGCTGTAGTAATCTAGTCACCCATCTATTCAATTCTAGTAAATTTTAAAATTCTCTTGGCCAGTAAATGGGAAGAGGGGAAAAATATCTACGTCTTGATGAACAGGACAAATGAAAATATGAAGTGACTTAGAGAATTTGAGCAGATCAGTGATTCAAAATCAGAAGTTCATAACTTGAAGCACTATAGTTAGTTCTCCAGATAACACTGTTTGCTTCTTTTGCCCAATAAAGCTGTTAGAAAGCAACTGATACAAGACTTCAATACAATCCTATCTTTCTTTGCAAGAATGACCGAGGGTATCAAAAAGCTTTATTTCAAGGAGCAGAAGTATTTTCTCATGAAGTGTTCACAACTACTTGAACTTGCATTCTGCTTTAACTTCTCTTATTAGGCTTATTCTAAAAAGCTTCCCATACATTTGCTTCTGGGCATAAGACCCTCAAATTAATTATTATCTAACTCCCTATTAAATTTACTCCAAGTTCTTGGGGGCTTAGAAAAAAGGAAAATGTATATTGCTACAGGAAAAGCTTCAACATTGCCTTTCCAACCCAATGTGTAAATATGACCTCTTGAAAATGCCTGTATACCAGCCTTTCTCACATTAATGTGGGTTTTTTCCTGTTTTAAGTATCTGTTTACCAACACCTTAATACTTTTTCATGCATAACTGATAAAATGTTTTATCTTCTGTACCAAAATAGAATATTTTAGTTTAAACAGGCAGTTAGAAAGCATAAACAAGGTTTCACTAAAAAGAGTAGCAAGTCCCCCACCGTGTAATGCATCCAAGATACCCATTTTAAAGATGCTTTTCTATATTTCTAATAAAAACAGTATTAGTAAATATGTAACCAAGACTAAGCACATGGCCAATTAACATTTTCTGAACAAATGCAAACAACTTTTCAAGGCTGCAGATATGGAAATCCATAATACAGAAATCTGACCTCAAAGAAAGCGGAAGATTCATTTGCGTAGTCTGCTGCACTACAAGCATAGGTAAATACCTTCACAAAAGCTTCATGTCTGCCATAATAATGCTGTAATATTCTGCCTGATCATTTCAAGTTGAGAGCATAACACTGTAAACAGGAACTTAGAATGAAAGCACTTTTGTGTCAGAAATTACATACCGTGCCACTAGTGCAGCAAGGAAAGTAAGAACCACTTCTTTTGTTGGTAGTCCTACCTGGTTAGGCTGGCTAGGAAAACAGGCTCTCCTGGTGTTGAAATCCTCAAAGGATGAAGGCCTTAAATTTGCACTGTTGTAAGGTTCACTGGTTACTACAGTTTCGTGTTGGAAAAGGTGATCTTTCATCAATGAACTTGATGTGTTTTCTTGAGCAGCCTAGAATACATGAGAACTCCCTTGAAATGATTTTGCATTTATACAAAACCCACACCAAACCCACCAACTTCATATGTAAATGCATGAATATTCTACATAACATGTTAGAGGCGTCTATACACACAAGTATTCACACAAGTATTTTTAAACACACATTTTTAAAGTACTCGTAAGTAGGCAAGTATTTTCTTCACCATGAATCAGCCTTGAAAAATAAGAGTTCCTTCTCTGCAGAGTGTACACAAATTAGGCATCAGATACATGCCTTCGTCAGTTGCCAAATCAGACTGAGGAACGTCTTAAAGGGGAGAGAGTAGCTCAGTCTCTGACACTGTGCTTTCTCTAACTACCCATGAGGCTGCCAGTATTTACAAATATACAGTTGGAGGAAAAAAATTTCTGAGACTAATAACGCAAAAGCTGGTCAGACCATTTAATAAATTAAAAGCAAGATCAGCTGGAAAGGAACAGAAAGTCACTTTTAACATATACTGGCTCAATTAAAATATCTAATTACAGCAAGTGTGTATTAAACAACTAATGACTGTCTTTTTGAAATTAAGGTTGTATCAGGCAATGTGATACAAATATGAGACCATGTGGTAACATATAATGAGATATCTGCAGGATGTGTGCCACTCGGAATAAGGAAGAGGAAGTATGTTTGGGTGGAATACTGGCTTGTGAGATGATCCAATTTCTGCAAAGAACAGAAAAACAAACAGCTCTCATTTTTTAAGTTTAATCTGACTGGGATATACTTAGGATACAGTAGAGCTTATTGATACAAATCCCACTGGGCTGCCAAAAAATATACTGTACAATGTTTTGTTTGTATTGAGAGACACTGTAAAGTTAACTGGCTGTCATCATCTGATAAGCACTGAGAAAATTCTGGCATCATCCAGCTTCCAGCAATGAGAATGTTTCAGCTTTATTATAAAGATTTCTATGTATCATGAAAACATTAGGAGGCAAACAATAAAAATACTGCAGGAAATTACTGAGGCAGAGGCAAACCTGAAGTTTTTGCAGGTTAAGTATTAACACTGAATTATTAGGTTTTATTTAGCAAAGTACTTAAGGAATTTATTCTGGGATTACATTAGCGCCTCACATTCCTAAGATATCTAGATAAAGTGGAAGTAGCTGTTACATAGCTGATCTTTAGGAGAAAAAATAATCACATACGAAGAATTTATATATTGTTCAGAAGCACTCTGAGTGGAAAAACATTTACATTCTTAATTAACTAATGATCAGCTTCAACTAATTGTCTTTCATGAGGTGTATGCTACAACAGCTCAATCAGGTTAAAGCTCCCTTGAAAAATTTTGAAGACAGACAAAACCCCAGAAAGAAGAACATGCAGATCCTTGAGCATGATAACAGCCACTAAACAAACCCTGTTTTTACCAAAATTACATTTTCTGGTCAAACACTGTTGGGAAAGGAGTACAAAACAAATGTTGAAATGACTGGCAAGAGTAAGATTTCATGGATGTATACTTATTTTAAGAGCAAAAAGCATCAAATATTAGTGCAATATCAAACATCTTCCCAGCAGGAGGTACTCCTGAAGGTGCATTGCCTGATGACATAAAACACTTCCAAAACACTGGTTAAAATCACAGGAGCACTGCATTCAGAATGAGGAAGAAATGCCTAAAACTATTTTGGTTTGAACGACATTATAAATGCTTGCAACCACGAACTACAGAAGCTAAGAACACAACTGCTAGAAGCCATTTTACAGAAGCCACGGTGATAAGTGGTACCTAGGCCCCCTTACTCCCCCACTTATTACCTATTTGAGTGGTCTAGGGAGAAGGATGAGAGCTGCAAAAAGCTACTACTCCTTCCTTCCCAGGGAAAAAACACATACTACCCACAAGCCAGTCTTTATCCCTGGGTGATTATTTCCAACAGCCTGCATTATTTCCTGTCCTTGCAGGTGATTCACACTTTTCTTCAGAAATATGGCACCAGCACTACAGAGCAAGAAGGACACATGCGCACGCAGACACTCACGCTCCCCCTGGCAGCCAAGAAGGGCTCCAGCTAGCAAAGGATACAGGCTCTGATCATCTATTACCCTGCTAACTAGCAGGGCCAGACACTGCCACATGAAATACAAACCTTCACCTTAAAGCAAGCCTTTGTGCCCTGTTCTCAGCAATTCTAAAGGAATGCTTTTATAAAATTCCAACACATGCACCACAATTCAAGCTAATTGACTTAAAGGACAAATTTGGGGGTGGCAGGAGACAGAGAAAGGCATCTGACCTTTGTAAAGCAAGAACTCAAGAGACAGCTGTTCGGAGAGCACAACGCCTAGCCTACCAACCCAGACACCACAGGTAAGTGGACACAGCCCAACTTCTGGTATTCATGAAAAAGGAAAAGCCATCAGGTCAGTTATGATTTTATTTAGCCTGCAAATATTCACTATGCAGAACTACAGAAATGCCAGATGAATATCCTGAAATTTTTAATTAAACTGATAGTTTAGATACAGCCAAATCATGTTTGTTAGTATCCAAAAGGCTCTCTTTAGATGACACTTCCTGCTCCAATGTGATGTTTTATGACATGGCCATAAACACCTGAAAACCCACATTTACAATGGCAACACTGACAACCCAAAGGGAGAGGCCTTGGAAACAAAAATGGTATTGTATTGAAAATGCATTTAAGTAAAAAGCAAACAGAAGAAGTTTTCCACAAGAACTAAGCTTGGTACATTAAACATACAGAATACTACACACATACACAGAGGCACACAACCCCCTTTTCTACTGTCCAAAGCAATTACACCGCCCACATTCAATATCCTTTAACCACAGCCTGCAAAGTACTGCACTGGCATAGGTTATTCAGTATCATCTGTAAAATAACCTACGCCAGTTTTTAATGCACAACGGAAATCTGGTTTGCTCCCAGCTGCTGGTATAATAATTACTGTCCTATGGTTGCTAAGAGATACTCTGAATTTTTTTCCAAGACTACTAAAACATTTCTGTGCGCACAGGCAAAAGGATGCTGGGTAAAGCAATAAAATGACTCCAGCTGTAGCTCTCCAGCAGAATTCAAAGCCAGATGACAGCTGTAGAGAAAATGAAAACCAGACTGAGCTTCTCTTCTTCAAATTTTCTCTCCTGACTTCTCCCAGTTTGCCAGAGTTAAGTCTGGGAGAGAATTCAACATTGTTCTGCAAACATTGTTAAAAATGTTCTGCTCTAAGTAAGTTTAATGATTACAGAGAAGGATGGATGAGAAACCACATTTCCGTTGCATCCCCATTCTTGTATTTACTTCCCATGAGGCCTGAAAATCTGCTGTTTGATGCTAACTAACACAAGAAGCATTTAGATTTGTGTGTGTGTGTGGTTTTTTTCCCCTCAATTTTTAATTGTGAATAAATGACATAGGTTTCAAACATCTGAGTAACTTCCTTCTGCATTAGCTATTTCTGAGACTGATGGAGCAACTGTTTTCATATTTAGCAAAGAAACTCTACTACAATCAGGTATATATTTCTGACATTGACTGAAATATAACCCAGATTACTCTGAATGTTTTGTACAGTTTAAAATAAAATACAAGGCATTTGACATATCTCCTTCTTCCAAGGAAGTTCTACCTGAACAGATAAAGCATACTAGAGGTTTTTAGGGATTCCAAGGAAGGAACTAATAAATCAAACCACAAAGAAGAACTCCAAGGAACTAAGGGAGAGACAGAGATGTAAAGAGGCTGTTAGAGATACTGTTGAGGAAAAAAAGTTTCCTCCTCTTCTTTGAATACTACTCCATCAAAAAAAAAAAAAAACCCACCCCCAAAAAAACCCAAAACAACCAACCAAAACTTAATAAACCCAAATAATTTTAGCACCTTACATTATTAGATTTATTTTAAATAGATAATATAAGTTAGTATTACTTCTAGTCCTAGAACTACAACTAGACAATTTATTAAGTGCATTAAATACTGCTAATCTTTAGTGTTTCATCATGCAGTATTTTCTCCTCCATAAAAACAATACAGTCTCAAGGGTAAATTATTTCACATTTCCTTGAAAGTCTTAATGTCAGGTTATTTTTGTAAAATAAAAACTTCTACAAACCTTTTGTTATAGACAAAGTAAACTGAATGGTCACTAAATAGTGCATTTACAAAGAGGCACATGAACCTTTTATGTCCTCCTTGACTGCATCAAAACCACTTTAGATGCATATAAGTTGCAGGCCTCTCCCCCTTCTTATTGACAAGAAGCCCAGTGTACCTATTTCTGAAAGAACAGGCCAACCCTTTTTTTTTCCCCTGCTTTATCACTCTACAGTTTTCTTCTGCCAGTAGTAAGAAACTCAAAAGCATTAAGTGCTCCATTTCTTATTACTTCAAACATGTTAAGATGTGTTTGTAGCCTAAAAATAACACCAGTATGGCTAAAACAACAAAACCTGAAAGAAATTAAGACTCAACTGCTCTATTTTTCAGTTCACAGAAGCAGGACTTACGCATTTACATCAGTGATAAAAGGGAGACTAGGGAAAATGTGGGCCCTCTCCAGAAGGAAACAGGAGACCTGGTTACCTGGGATGTGGAGAAGGCCAAGATACTCATCACTTTTTTGCCTCAGTCTTCAATAGCAAGTGCTCAAAGCACACTGCCCAAGTCACAGAAGGCCAAGGCAGCTTCAGGGAGAATGAAGAACTGGCCTCTGTAGGAGACCAGGTTTGAGACCATCTAAGGAACCTGAAGGTGCACAAGTCCATGGGACCTAATGAGATGTGTCCACAGGTCCTAAGAGAACTGGTGGATGGAGTTACCAAACCACTATCCATCATATTTGAGAAAATGTAATAATCCGGTGAAGTTCCCATTTTCTGGAAAAGGGAAACCTAACCCCCATTTTTTAAAAAGGGAATAAATGGAAGGCCTGGGGAACTACAGGCCAGTCAGTCACACCTCAGTGCCCAGAAAGATCATAGTGCAGATCTTCCTAGAAACTACGCTAAGGCATATGGAAAATAAGGAGGTGACTGGTGACAGCCCACATGGCTTCACCAAGGGCAGATCGTACCTGACAAGTTTGGTGGCCTTCCACGATGGGGTTACAGCACTGGTGGATAAAGGGAAGAGAAACTCACATCATCTACCTGGATGTGTGCAAAGCATTTGACACTGTCCTGCATGACATCCTTGTCTGCAAATTGCAGAGACATCAATTTGACAGGTGGACCACAGAGGGAATAAGGGATTGGCTGGATGGTCACACTCAAAGAGTTGCTCTCAACAGCTTGATGTCCAAGTGGAGACCAGTGACGAGTGGTGTTCCTCTGGGGTCACATCTTTGTCAGCAACATGGATGGCATCGAGTGCATCCTTAGCAGATTTGCTGATGACACCAAGTTGTGTAGTGCAGTCAACACGCTAGAGGGAATGGATGACATCCACAGGGACCTGGACAGGCTGGAGAGGTGGGCCTGTGCCAACTGCATGAAGTTCAGCAAGGCCAGGTGCCAGGGTCAGGGCAATCCCAAGCACAAGTACAGGCTTGCTGGAGAATGGATTGAGAGCAGCCCTGAGGGGAAAGACTTGGGCTTTCCAGTACCTGCAAGGGAAAAAGCTGGAAGGGGGCTTTCTACAAGGGCCTGTAGTGATAGGACAAGGGGTAATGGGTTTAAACTGAAAGTGCGTAGATTTAGATTGGATATCAGGAAGAAGTTATTCACAGAGAGGGTGGTGAAGCACTGGTACAGGTTGCCCAGAGAAGCTGTGGATGCTCCATCCCTGGCAGCGTTCAAGGCCAGGCTGGATGAGGCTTTGAGCAGCCTGGTCTAGTGGAAGGTGTCCCTGCCCATGGCAGGGGGGTTGGAACTAGATGGTCTTTAAGGTCCCTTCCAACCCAAACCATGCTGTGGTTCTATGATTCCAAAACCCACACAAAAATACTTCTAAATGCATGAGTTCTAGATTTCATTTAGTTCGATTTATTTCTAAGAAAAACAATTGTGATTTTCACATTTTTTCAGTTAAGCTAGATGAGTTTCAGAGCAAGAAGTTTATACTTGGTAGAGGAAAAGAATCTGAGTCAATCTTTGATCAAACAAGCAAACTGACTTAAATGAGTTGCTTGTCTACTACATTCAAAACGCCTGGTTTTATACAAAGAAAATTCCAAACCTCCTACCAAAACAAGTTCCCAATGTATATTCCCATGTAAGTATATATACATTCCTGGGGCCCATTTACAAACATTACAGGAAGTCAGACAGCTCTGCGTTAACTCATTTGTGTATTGTTATTCAAAATTAATCTAGTAAGACTAAGTCTCATTTCATGCAAATTGTTTAAATGATTATAATTAGTATTAGTTCTATAATGAACATACTTTATGATATAAACAACTTTTACAAGCAAGTATGAACCCCCTTAAGTGACGGTAATTTTTACTACTAAGACTTTAACATTATTTGTTAACACTAGAGCATCTAAAGAATCTATGTCTTCTAAAAATAATAAATTTGATCTTCAGTAAGAATACTTTCTCTGTGAGATTTTATTTCAACAATATGGAAAAAAAAAAAATCTAGTTACCCATGATTCAATATAGCAAGCAAAATGCTATCCCAGAAAGAACAAGTGTTCAAATTTTTGATTGTCATTTAGGAGTTGCACATACAAGTTTTGGATGACCCCTATTTCTTTCTGCTTGGTACGTCTATGAAGTGTGGTAATAGTTATTACAAGTAGGCACTGAGGTTTAAACAGCAGTACCACTGATTATGTCAGAAGGCTGCGTGTTTCCATATTATGTGGATCATTTTATTTGCTCTTTGTAGCACCAAATATAACCAGTCAGTAAAATAACTTAAGAAGCATGTCTTGCTTTCTTCAATGCTAGTCATCTTTAAAAAAAAGTTTATGAAATTTATCCACAAACTACATACTATATTTACTTCAAATATTCACTAAATATAGGATCATTGCTGTGTAAGATGACCAGAACAGCATGGGCAAAACGCCTTGACAGTTTATGATGTAACTGACAAAGACCTAAGAATTTAAGTATTTTCATTTATTTTTCAAATGTACCTCGATGAGATCCTGGGGCCTTTACCTACCATACCAATGAATAAAAAAAAGAAAAAAAAAAAAAAGAATTCCAATACACATGATAGTTACTACAGCGTATATACAAAAAATACAAATGCATTAACAAACATGCTATGAAAAACAAGTGCGAAATAATGCTTTTCTCTTTTTCATAGTCTTCTATTTTAGAAATAACTTAATGACTATTTAATGTTTTTACTTAAATGGAGGAACTCCACTCCTTGATCTGTGGTACTTCACACCTTAGAGGTTAACAAATTACAATTCCAGGAGATTGTTCTGATGAAACAAACAACAGCCCACTGCCCTCATCTCCAAGTGTCAACCTGCCCTTTAGCATTCTATTCACAATCCAAAATGCCCTTTTATAGATATACCTCAAAACTTAGTCAAAAATGCTATTAGAGACTTGGAAAAACAGCTTATAGAATTAACAGGGGGTGAAATCATTAGGCCTTTCAAACTATACTGGGGTGGGAAGAATGGGGGACAAATGAGCAAGGCTCTTCAAATACATAATACATTATGTTTAAACAAAATGGTCTCAGCAGTCTTTCAACTGAAAAAAAGAAAAAGGCAAACAACCCTGGGGTATCAAGGTATCTGATACAACAGTATCAATCTTGGAATAGGGAAGGAATTACCATTTGGGGGAAAATGTATACTATTTGGTATTATATTCTTGAAGACTAGACTTGGTGCCTGTAACTGAAATGCTGCAGCCTTTCTACGCTAACATTCATAAACATGCAATTACGGCCTCGTTATTGATACATAAACTTGATTCAGATGAAGCATAGCTAAACCAGGGTGGGTTCAGCATTTCTTCTCCTGTGTCTCTACCCCTCTGCTATTGTTATCAATAGGCAATTCTAGTATCATTTATTTTACTTTGGTGTACAGAGATACGGTAAGAAAGATTGGCTAGCTTTGTTGCCTCTAGAAAACAGGTAATTCTTGCCATCTATCCATGGCACAAATCCACAACTAAGCAATGTGAGTTGTGGTGAAGCCATGAAATGTTTTCCAGTCTGAAATCTAACAAATAATTCTACCAACAGTTTGAACCGAACAGGATTGTACATACATATATAAGTTATATATGTAAGGAGAATATTTTATAAAAATATGGGGGTTTTGACTATATAAAGTAGATCTACATCATCTATTTACGTATCTAAATATATCTATATTTACATCTAAACAGAATAAATAATGTAAATACACTTTTCTCCACTTTCCCAATAACAAACTTTGTAAATATAAAGAATCACAGATATTTGCTTCTATTTTGGCATCCTTATATAGGAGCTTAATAACTATGCAGCATAATCAAGAGGTAATTAGTTTCCTCTAATTCTCATTAGACCTGTAGAAATTGCTCAGTTATTAATCCTTGCAACAAAGCGTGTTTAAACAAGTCTTTTAAAAGCTGATTAAGACTGCATTAACACATTTCCTCCAACCCTGTCAAAATCTCATTCCTATTTTACATCCAAAATAACTAATATTTATAGCAATTTTACTTTAAAGTGCCTTAAAATAAAGCACTGCAAATAAGGAACAACAGGTGGTTGCACAGCCAACACTTCCACAGAGATACATTCCTTCTACCATAAAATGGAAAGAAATCAGGAGACTTCTGCATTGCCACTGCATTGCAGTATCCTTTCTAAATACTTGACTGTCTCAGTCTCCTATCATAACTTGATTCTTACCCATATCTTCAAACTAGACTGCTAATTTTCTTCATTTTGTGTTGCAGAGGTTCTACACTGCATCTATCTACACTGATAAAGAATTTAATATTGCATAAACGACACAACTCTTTCCATCAAGAAACCACTTAGGAATACTATCTGTTTTCTGAATAGCCACTAAGACCCTGAGTCAACTTGTTCCCATATCCGCTTTATATTAATTTAAATATCTGCACTCTGAAAACTGAATGTATGTGTGAATAAAGCCAAGACTTTCCCTGAAACTGTAAATAGGAAAGAAGAGATGACCAGCACACACAGACACTAGTACATTTCTACTCAGGTATATCAGAGCTATTCACTGTATATATGTACCCATAATATTTGTTTACACTGTCTTTTTAATTACGTGGATTCTTGGATATTACCAGACAGTGCTACACATCTGTGTTCGAGTACTTGATATGGTATTTATGTAAAGCATTATACCTCTGAAGCATAGCAGGAGGTAAGTTTTTACGTCTAATGCTATTATGACTTCTAAAAATTGAAGAGTGCAAAGAAGGATCAATAAAAATTTGAATCTCAACAAGTGACTGCTTTATCTTCAGCGTGGTTTTAAAAATCATCTGAACTTCTGCCCTTGATTGGACCAGATTCTTTTAACAGTTATCACAGCATCTTTACAAATCTAACCATACAATATTTGAATTGAACTCTAACCAATGAACGTTTGATTTCACTGCAGAGTGAAATCTAGGAAAGCAAATAGGATGTGCATGTAAAAAGATTCCCCAGCCCTCTATTTCCCCTGCCCCCATAAGAGTATTTCATGTTTCCATGAGTTCAAAGAGGACACATAACCTAGAACAGATACTATAAACTTAAAAATTAAACTCAAGATGGTTAATCATCCTATTGATTAAATAGAATACTTCATTTAGGACAGACAATATTGTAAGTCTTGTAGATAACTGTTCTGAAACTTATTTCATTAAACTGAATTTTGCTATTGCTCTTACTTTGCTTATTCTCACTAAGGAAAACAAAAATTGTTCAATGAATTTCTTAAAAAAATAACTGCACATTTAATAAAAAAATTTAAATACTCACTTGAAAGCAGTCTTCTGCCACATCAACATCATTTTGAGAGGGTGGATAACCTACAGAAAAAATAAAAAAAAAACCCAAAATAGACAAAGTTGGTGGGTTTTTTTCCATTTAAAGTCTACTGCTTCCAGTAGCCCACACCATCCGTCTATATCTAGCTATGATTATATAAATACACTTTATTACTTTTTAGCCAGTAGATCACTGTATATCAAGCTGATTTTACTAAGTACCATTCATTTCCACATCCAGTATTTTATATACTGAGTATTCCTAGCCGACCTTCTCTCTCTTGTTCACACCTTTCTTGTAAAAGCATTTTCTAAGTGCCATCAGAAGTCAGAAGCAAGTGAGCATATTCCTGTTAATGAAGCATTTTGAAAATTAAAGGCAGATATATTTGGTTGGCATGAATGCATGCTGTGCTGTATTCTGCTATAAATCAGCAGAAATTGGAAGTGTGAGACCCCAAGAGAGAAAAGGACTCATATTCTCTAATTATTTCTCTTGCACAATTATGGATGATATCAGCACAATTCAACAGAAGTCATTCTAGTATGTCAAACAGCATTTCCCTTCAGAAACATTTCTCCCTTTGCTATATGGTAACACACATTAAATCCCTAAATTTACATCACAGCACATAGTATTTTGTTTAAATTTCTTCCTTTGAGTTACTTTTTACAAGCCTGAAAGAGATGTTCTTTCCATTCAATAGATACCTGTTTCTCTTCCCTCTCTCCCTCTAGCAATACATTTATCATATTTTCAGCTCAGAATTGAGGCTTGATGATTATCTTCAGTTTGACTGCTAATTTCCATGATGTCAGTGAAACTCTGGAACCAGTTACTGTGATGTATTACTACTACAGTAAGTTATTCTACTGTCCTATATAGACCTGTCCTCAGAACTACGCTGTCAGCTGTTAGTAAACAAAACTATTAACTGAAAGTATGTGCAGATAAGAAGAGAACTCAATGTGTCTCAAATGATTCAACTTCACAGCTTACCCTCTAAGAACAGAGAAGCTGTAAGAAGCTTCTGAGAACAAGTAAGACACTAAAACACTCTAGCTTCCTCCATTTCTTCATCTCTTAAAAAAGAGGCAATGCATTATTATGTAGGGATGTTTCAGGGAACTACCTTATTAGTGTTTCTGAAACAATTTAAGACATTTGGATGAATGGCACTTTAGAAAAGCCAAAAAGTACTATTTAAAAACTCAATATACTATAGATCAACCCTCATCCTTAAATACTGTCAGCATTAATGTTATGCAAAGTGCTTTAACTGCTCTGATTCACTGAACACTCAATACCTGTCCCCTCTCTTCCCCAGCCCCGCCAACCCCTTCACCTGAAATATGTACCTTGAGAAATATCCTCTACTGCTCTCCGAATACCTCTGTCAAATGCTCTTGCATCAGCAGGGCTCTGAAATGTGAGGCCAAACTTTTTGTCATCAATCTTCCAGTGGTAAAAAGTAGGAGTAACTTTGTTGTAAACGAGGTCCTTCTTTAATGTGCATTCCAAGACCACCTTCCAGAAAGAAGACAGGAGGAAAAGATATCACTGACTAACATACCAAATTTAAGAACAATAGGTAGTCTTTGTGAACTACCTGAAAACATACAATGTAAGAGCAGATAAAAGCCTCTGTTAAATATTTTTCCTGTTTGAGGGATGTAATTTTAACTCCATTTCCATTATGGCCAAACTATTCACTAACAGTTGCTGAGAGGTGGCCTGGGTTAAGGACACTCTGGGTAAACCAAATGGATCTTCCCAGCTTCAGAAGTATCTCATACCTGCAGCAAGTACATACCTGAACAAGTCAGTACAGACTTGTTCAGCAAATGAAATAGCCCATACCCTGAAAAAACACTCCAATAATACTTGATATCAACATAGTACCACTGGGAATTTCATTTGTATACTTCTATGAAGTTTTTGAGCACTGGACTAACTTTATGCACCTCTCAGGCCATTATCAGTTTTCTCCTAGAAAGGCTACTAGACAAGAGAAAATAATACAGGAGAATTGTTTTAAAAACTGAAACTAAACAAAACTAAAATATTTTTGAATGTATTGCTGCCTGCACCTAGACACAGATACATTTATGGCTCATGTTCAGCTATAATGAAAACAGCCAGTAGGAATAATTAACAGAATTATTCGCCTACAAAACCGATGCAGGCATACATGCACATTCAGTTACAAAGCGAAGTCTCAGTCTTCACATCACTTCCCTGCTTTCAATTGGCTAGGTTTTAACATATATTTGCGCATTCAATTTACCTGTAGAAATCATTTTATGCAACATTGTTATACTGAATGATTCTGGATTAAAAAAACAAATCCAAAGTGAAGAAGAAAGTACAGAAGGAAATGCACTGATCTGCTGTTGTAGCATTAGGTATAATGTCTTGCACAGCAAGACAACCTGTATCTCCCTATTACGACTAGATTCTCAAAACCTACGCTGAGAGGTGAATGAGGAATTTTAATATTCTATCATTTCAACATTAATATAGTTTCAGAATTTTCGTTTTTGTTATATATGCAGCTTTTGAGAGAAAAATACAGAATTTCTTACATCATGTGGAAAAAATGAGGTTAATTATAAACATAACTGAGGAAAAAAATCCAAGTTTTAAAAAAGTCTGTACTTAGATTATTCTTACATATCCTTTGTGTTCTTCCTTATCTAATTATTACACAGGCATACAGGTTTTTTTTCTCCTGCTCTTTATTATTTATTCCCCCTACCCTACACCCCACCACTAATCATCTCCTCTCAAGTTTTACTGCCTCCTAGCTCTGTCGCTAGAAAGATCACATTCTTTCTGCACATATGAACTCTTTCAGCATTAGAATAATTTTTGTTACTCCACTCAATTCCCAAAATGGTCAACAATAAGTAGGTACAACTGCCTACAAGAAAGCATGGGAGAGAATCTAACTATTTGCTGTAAATGTGCAGGAAAAAGTGCTGCAGAAAAAAAAAAAAAAAAAAGAGGTGTCATTCTGCAGTTCTAAGGTGTGCTAAGTGACAGTTCTTTCTTCCTTTTGGTGATTTTAAGCTTTCTTCCTCAAAAGAGTAGCTAAACACGGAAGATTTCACATCACTGCACTTTCTAGGTGCGTGGTCCCACTTTTAGGGGCATGTCTACTAAAGTAAACACCTACTGTTTTCACACTATATTGTGTGCAGTTTCACCCAAAATATCAAAAAGTACTGCGAGACTGATTTTATAGCATTCCAATGAACATCTGTTCCAAAAGGAGTTAACCCAGATTACTTTATATTGAAAAATCATAACCGGATGACAAATATTTTTAAAAGATAGTGCCACTGGAGATAAACTACAGAATTAAAAGTTATACTGAGTTGAAGCTATGATTTTCAAAGAAATTCAAGCCAAACCAGAAAATCTCCAAACCAACCCACCCCAACCCAAAAGCAACACTGCTACCATCCCCCTGCCCCTCTCCAACCCTCACACTTTATAAAGACAAGCAGTCATTAACACAACAAGCAAACATCCTATGCAACACCGTAATTATTTCAGCTTGATTTATGGAAAGCACAAATTTGACAGAACGACGCTGATCTTTCAGATCTAAAGCTGCATGAAAACTGACCAGTTTACACAGTAGACAGTAAGAGGTTAAGGGCACTGAAGGGAGGGAACTTTGCTGCATCAAAATTGTGTGCGTTATCAGACATAAGAATCCGTATCGGCAAGACTTTATGCCTGCCCCACCTGAGAGAAAACTCAAAACCTGAATTAGCAGCAGGACACAAATCGATGAAAACCCAGCCTTCTGTAGTTTTTGTTGCATACAGAAATAATACACACCATACCAACCATCCGCTCAAGCACTTTTTTCTCCCCAAAACACTTCCATGCTTTGCAGCCACAATGTGTTTTTCCCCTGTTAAACATAATGCTGTCAAAAGCTTCTTTATGCTGAAGCATGCAAACCATCACTGGGGCCTGGGGGAGGAAGTATCCTGACACACAGATCTCCGAAGCCAGGAAATGGAAACCAAGCTTCCTCAATACAGAAGGCTTTTCTGAGTCTTCAAACATCCAGACCTCCAGGTATTTTTTTACTGCACTTTGCTATGGTTCAGAGGTGTCCATATCGTATGTGAAGATGGTATCATACTCTCCCACATGGTTACCTAAAATCTGCGTTCTCAAAACTTTTAAAGTAGACTTTCTCCAAGATCTCTAGTGATAAGCACAGCAGAAACCTGCAAAACTGTAAACTAAGTGACTACAGGTTAACAAAATGGCTTTTTTAAACAAACATGGGTTACTGTGCTGAGGGTTTTCTTCATTTGGAGACTTAATACAAGAGTTTGATGCAAATACGAAGCAGCCACCTTATAGGAAATGTTGCAGAGTTATCAGACTTAAGACAGAAGAGCTCCAGATCTAAATCAGATCTAACTTTCTTGCTACATGTTTCTTTCCTCACCTCTACAAGCTACATTCTTTAAAGATATTAGAAACAGTTCGGCTTGTGTAGACAAGATGCATCTCTGAAGTCAGAAATTTTAAATTTCAACGCTTCAAAGCCAAGTATTTTAAAACAAAAAATGTTTATTTAAGATATTAGCATCATTATCTAAGGCGTGTTTCAGAAACAAATATAAATAAACCTTATTGCATTTGATACAGATTTCTGTAACGGACTCCATAATTGAAAATTTCTAGGTACTGGGTACTATTTTATACATTTCTAGCTGTACTTTCCAGCTTACATTACACATAGATAGTTTCACGATTTCTCATTCCCAGTCCAAATCTACAAACACATAAGCGTATTGTTTTTGATGAAACTTCTAAAAGCCTTTTCTGCTAAATAGAATCACAGGCTTTTCTTTGGTCTTGGGACCAAGCAGCATGACCTGAGTATATTTGTATTACAGCACATGTGGCCCCAGTGCCAGCATGACCCTGCGACATGAGTATTCTGTGCATACTTCCTTTTCCAATTCAAAAAGTAAGAGGATGTAAGGACTATGCTACATCTCATCAGAATCATCTTTTCTCAGATTTAAAACCAATTAAAAAAGAAAACTGTAATTTAAGTTTCTGAACAGCTGAGTTTTACAAGAGAACAGCATTTAGATTGAGCTTCATTTTTGCATCTTTCCCTTTACACAATCACATGTTCTTCAAAAGAAAGATTTTAAACTTGGATTTGTCACTCCTGACTCACGATCCGAAGGATACTAATCAGGTTTTTTTTCCCCTCTCAGTAGAAACTCGCACAGCAAAAGAGTGAAGAAGAAAATAAAACAGAGAAGACTACTAGACTTTTCATTCAAGAATGTAAAATTAATCAAAGCCTAGAAGCCTATAAGCTTGAGCCGAGTGTATGTTTATCACTACCACTATTAAGACAGAAGAGAGCTACTGTAAATGTTGTAGAAGAGAGCAGCAGACCTGATCAGGTTAGGAGGGAGTGCAATTGTTCCAAGCAGACTGGCTGGAGCCAGACCTAAGAAGGTGAGTATAATAAAGGAAGAAACGTGTAATTATATCAATCTTCACAAAATACCCGTACATTCCAATGTAGATCTAAACAACCTGAGCAAACTAGCAGGGAGCATTCCCTCTCCTAAATTAATTCAATGGTGCAACCACTTTGATTTCTTCTCAGATAACTAGGATGCTTTTTGCCAGCCTATGAGATGTTTTAAATAGCTCAGTACTGCACAAAAATTTTGAAGTTCTACACGTAGCTTGAAGCTGGTTCGTGAAAGGGCTGGTGACAATCTAACTCTCAGGCATTTAAAGAAACAATGAGAAATTCCCCCAACAAGGAACTTCGATATTTTGATATTCAGTCCCAAAGTACTTAATTTATACAGCTGACTTACAGACCGAGATCTACAGTCCTAATTAAACACCAGCATATACTATAAAATATATGGAGAGATCTGGCACATCGGAATGGAATTGCAATGTACTGTAAGAAGCAGTATTTGGAGAGGCAGCAACTACAGCTCATTTACAAGAAACAACAAGAGATGAAAGCTGTCTCATTCTCCTTGAATATAACCATTTAAGAGGCATCTGGAATATACCTCCATCAAACACCTCACCTATGGATTTTCAAGTTGCTTTGGAATAAATTCCACCTTTCCACTGGCACATAGGTTGAACAGCGATACCGGCGTTATGATTCACATATAGCTTAGGTAAAAGCCATAGATCTGAATTTCATTTGCTCTCAAACCTAAAGTATTTCAAAACCCATGCTTCCTTGCATCCCAGAAAAGTGCTTCAAGTTCCACACTATCGGTTTTTGTAGGACAATGGAATTTCTGACCCTTTACCCGAAGCTGAGCCAGTTCACAAAAGAAGGACTTACTGGCCAGAGTAAATAAAAATATAATCTAGTTTTAAAGGCATTTCAATGCGACTTGAGCGAGGGGAAAGACTCAATTCCTAAGGATTACTTCCTTTTCTAACCCACAGAAGTGTTTTCAGAAACGACTGTGTGTACCTTGCAAAAGAAGTGAGTGAACTGGAAATCGTGGTCCAGCTGACCAAGTCATAATGACTTCTAGCCAGTACAATAGACTAAACATTCCTGAAGACACATATGTTCAAAGTCTGAATAACTGAAATGTTGAAAATGGTTCAGGAAATTCTTTTAAAACCAATAGTGCTACTTTCTCTCTGCAAATACAATGGTACAGCAACCAACTAAACAGGGTACAACTAACTTAAAAGATTATTCAGCTACACAGATTTACACACCAAAGCCATTCTGTAATGATATTAGAGTGATGTCTGAGCACAGAAACAGCAGATTCAGTATAACTTACTCAGAATCAGAAGATGATCAAGACATGTGGTCCCTACTCAGTAGCAAACATGATGAACCCATAACTTCCACTTTTACTTTATTTAAAAAAAAAAAAAAAAAATTATGCCACTGAAGTAATCTTCAACAGTCTTTCTCAGGATTGTCTTTGAGAACACACCCCTCTCCACTCTTTCAGTTGGAACACACAATTACATTTCCACTTCTTGGTGTTGTTTTTCTTGGACTTTTTTTTTGTATTATGAAATATAACAGTCACCTGCCAATTCTATTTGGACTAAAAACCCAATTGTATGGTTTAATTAAAGAAAAGTTTAAAAATTGTGCTTGAACAGTGAAACCACAGGAATAACCCAAGAATAAATGTAAAACCACTAACTATAGTGAAAGCAGAAGGATCAGAATAGTTTTAAAATCAGAATCAGTGACTGGATCCCTGACCAAAAGAAATTCTCTTCCTGTCCCTGCTACAGTCCTTCTGAAGAAGTGTCATGACAGAACAATGTCCTCGCATACCTTGGTGGAGGATCTTGTTTCTTTTATGCCAACAGGAGTCTGGTGGCATACTGTGCAACTTTGTTGGTAACTCACTACACATTAGCTGTTGCTGGTAAGAGCGTTGTTTGAAGTCTGAGGAAACAGATGCATATCTAACATCCTTTTACTCCATTACCAAAGCACCACTGGCTCTACAGTATTCTTTCTCACAGCCAAATCTGTATTTGTTAGTTCCCTGACCTTCATTCTATATACATTTGATAGATGTTCTTCCCAGCTGCATTTCTTCTTCCTTTTTTTAATCCTGTGTTTTTGAAGGGCTGACTTCTAACAGCAGCTTCTTAAGACTGCAGTAAGATCAAAATCTGTCCTGGCAGACAGATAGGTCACATTTGGGGGCAGGAGGGGGTGACAGATGGACACAGAATGAGGGTCACACACCAAAATGAAAATCACCCCACCCAAAACCAGAAAAAACTTGTTCAGGACAATAAAGGCTTGGAACACATATTCATACTAACAGTAGCTCGATTTCAGACAGGCAGGGTAGCAGAGGCATTTAAGCTTACTACCAGAAGTGGAAACAAAACAAGGCAGGAGAGAGCGCACACACTGATCAGGATGCCAACGACTGCAACGTTTTCATATGGAAGCAGGAGAAACATTAAACCAGCCTTCAGTTCTGAGCATTTTATTACCCTCAGATTCCGAAGGCAAGCTGCGAATATCAAAAGTATTAAGAATTAAGAGAAAACTGTCAAGTATTTCTAAACACAATTAAGCTCCTCAAAACCAGCCTTAATAAGGCTAAAAACAGTTCTAAGGGGAACTACTGCAAAGTGAGGAAGGAACTGCAGGTGCACATAGCTGTGCAGGAACACAGGGTACTCTGCTAATAGCACGACGCCTCCCTGAAACAACTGAGTCAGCAGAATGTCTATTTATATGCTCTCTTCCTACAACAGTCATAGTCAAGGCAGAAAACTCAGCAGTCCTGCCTCAAGGGAGAAATTGGTCTGCCTGAGAAAAGAATCAGCTGTATGGTATAAGAAGTCATTCTACCTTTTAAGCTTACACAGGAGTTGTAAATTACTGGCAGAAAAAAGCAAGCTCTCGATAAAGTCTTTAAGATGGTGATGCTTTCCCCACTTCTGTTTGTTTCCACAGTAAGGCACATCCCCCGCTTCAGAAACCCATTTGGCACGGAAGTAACCAAGCGAGCCCCAGTGAGCCCATTCTGTCTTCCATAGGTCTGCATGTGGAAACGGCTGAGAACCTACAGCACGGTTTTGCTTTTGCAAGGCTGACTTTCATGATGCTATTTAAGACAAGTTTATTACTGGTATTTTATTTAGGGTAGCTGACAAACCACAATTTTTTGGACCTGTCAGCTTAATGCTTTCTTCCAATACAAAAGTTGTTTTCATGTAAAACTGCTGCTTTTTGTCACGGCCAAATTCCACAGCTAACGGAATCATTACTGAGGAATTTCTTCAGATGTTGTGTTTTTAAAAAGTTATCTCATTTTACAACAATACTAAACATGGAATCATTGGTGTATAAACAGGCTAACAAGAAGATTTAACTTTAACCTTCCAATGAAAAAAAAAAAAACACCAAAACCAAAAAAACCCAAACCCAAATAGCAAAATGTTTCCCCAAAAGGATGGTAATCTGCAATTAAAAAAAAATGTTTCAAAGTTTCTAAAAGATCAACATGCGGAATTCTAGAAACACATATTACACCTAAAAATAAATAATTGGCTCTCTAAGTACATAACCATTGATATGGACAGAGGCTCAGCAACAGCATTAGACCAAGACAACAATAAGCAAACATCTATTCTTAGGTCCTACGTAGTTTTAACAGGAACACTAAACGGATGTAAATTGTTACCGTTTTATCCCTGAGTCGTTCTCCATGGATAAGAAAATCAGCACAGCTATTCTCTTCCTGGGGAATGACTTTGAAGACTGTGACACAGCTTAGTCCACCCCCTCCAAGTGGTAACCATCCACCACTTGAGTCATCCCGGGTCATCACCACAGCTCGCACTCGTGCATAACTATTACTGGAAGAGATGCAAAAGAAGAAATTAGTTTTCCATGAACGCAAACCAGCTAAGTCTAGTTTAAAAAAAAAAAAACCAAAACCCAACCAAACAAATAACATAACAAAAACCAAACCACCCCAAAAAACCAACAAACCCACAACCAAGATAATGATAATTAACACTGTGGAGGCTCAGTCCTTCCGTAACAGTCACCTAGAAGAAACCAGTCTAAGACGACATCCTAAAAAGATGTGTTTGTCATGCCTTCATTAGGACTTCTTGGAGCTTTCATGTGATTTCTTCTAAAGGAACTTAACCAGTATAGTTCCTTAGAGTCAAAACTGATATTCTTCTAAAAACTTTATGGTCAGTGATCTAGCTAGAGAGGACCAGGGGCAGGAAGAGAGTTAAGAATCAACTCCCAATTTATTTTAGACTAATCATGAAGCCAGTCAGCCACCATGAAATTGCACAGAAAAGAGAACAAGAAAGCAGAAAGAGGTCAGGCCTCCTGCCACTGAACTCTAAACAAGAACAGGCTTCCAGCCAGAAATGCTGCTCCTCTTCGTCCCTCCCTCCCTCCCTCCCTCCCCATGCACATAACCCGTCCTAAGGATGGGGAGGTCAGGACACGTACCTTGTGGGGTTCGACAACAGAGTCGGTTCCAGCTACCTAAAACCTAATACTTGTAGCATCTACTAGCTGGTTCTCTCATGCATTCGCAGTGTGTGGAAAATTACTAGCATTTTACAATTTACCAGCTTTTCTCATCATTTAGCATTTTTATAAACAAATGGTTATCAGTTCGTTACTTAAGCCAAATTCCTTTTTCAGAGTATCAGAAAGTTTTTGGTGATCTTCTCTCTCAGATTTTATTTCTTTCCTTTAAATTAAATGATGTGTTTTATTTCTGTTTATGAATTTACTGCTATATCCGCTAGAAAACCCCATGGTTTACCAAGGAACTTCTAAGATCCTATGTTCAAAATATAGTTTACTGCATGAATGTAAACAGCGCATGAATGAGCGTTCCAACACTTTAAAAGAAATACCCTTCATGGTATCTTTTGCAGCGTATTTTTGATTGAGGGTTTAACTACTTATGCCAGTTAACATTAGCGATGTCAAATTTAAGGACTGATCAGGAAATTAGAAGAGGACAAAATTGCTCCTTCTGTACAAAATAATTTGTGATATAACCATTCACCAAACTGTTGTATCTTAAAAAGATCACTTCTTCATTCCCCCCGCCGAAATGTCCCAAAATAACTGAAGGTAGGCTTTTTTGCGTAATTAATATATTGCATTCTCACACGTACATATGATTCACACGTATGATTCACTTATCTATATAAATATATACAAGAGAATTTTGCTGCAAGCATCTAAAGCTTAAATACGTAACAGTTTGCAAGATGGGAAATAAAATAAGGCTACCCCATTGGAGCTTATAGGCAAGTGAATTTGTTTAATAGAGAATTTGTTTTTCCCTCCCAAGCAAAAACACCAGTCTCCTACTCGCCCTAAACCTCACAGTTAAAATGACAGTTCAGTCCATGTTTCTCACCATTTCTGTACCAACACCTTTTAGTAACTCCTCCCACACAGCAGACAAAGTTCATTGCATGCATTTATCAATTCTAATATCTGCAAATAAAAATGGCTCTATCTTGATGCTTAATAATATTACTGAAAGTCGAGTCATTCATTGGTCTCTATCACTGTATTTCACCCTGAGTAAGTTCAGACTGTAGTTACACACTTAAGACACAGGGAGTCATTTGTCTCTTGTTTCTCTCAGGTGAAGAACCTCTCCTGGCAGAAACTGAGGACTCCAAGACTGCCCTCTGAAACAGTAAGAAATAGGATGCACTAACTGGCTAAACCTACACACTCTCTTTGCTATTCTCCATTCAAGCGAACCACAAGTTTAGCTTTAAAGTTATTAATTCTATAAATTCCATTGTAAATCTGAATATTAGAACTTTATTTCGTGTATCAGCAGACTGCAGCAAGAGTTCAGTTAAGCACCATTTAGGGATATCGCAGAACCTCACTACGGCTAAAAAAGAAAACTTGAACTACAACAGTTTTTTTTTTTCTTTTTTAAAAAAAAAGGTTATACTCCACATCCATTTTCTTTCTAAGAATAGCTAAGGATCAGCAAAGATGGATGACACTACCATGCCTCAGTGGCTTAGCTACTTCCATTTGCCCGAAGTTTTCTGTCAGCGTTGGGTGTTTTCTCCCTTCCCTATACTGAGATGTCTAGTTTGGTCTAGTTAATAATCTTGCATTTTGCTTCCATCTTTGCTATTCTTTAAACTGTTTTAAACATTTATCTTTTCAAATATTTTAGGAACTACTATCAAATCCACTGCATTAGTGCCAGAACCAAAATAAAAGTCCCCAACAGGTAGTATTTAATGAACAATCTCTTCAATTCAAAGAAAAGAGTTTTTCCAGACAACCACCCTGTAAATTAACAAGACATTCATTCCTGTACTGGCAACAATGCCAAAGACTATGAAGAGATTGCTTAGTTTTGGGTTGTTGTTGGGTTTTTTCTTTTTTTAATATATATTTTAAGGAACTCACAATTGGTAATGACCAAAAAAAAAAAGTTACCTACAGTGTGATCTTCTTGTAGTTAGAGCTACTGAAGAGTACAGCATGTGTCTGAACTGTATACCTACAAAACTTGAAGACATTTTAAGATAGCATAGCATATCATGCAAAGTTTCATTCTAAAAATATTCACAAATGAAGATGAATCTCATACCAAAATCAAAAGCTGGAGTGGGATGAACTGAGCAGCCTGAGAAAGCACGAGTGGGCAGAAACAAAGGGCTACAAACCCTAATAGGACAGAAAAGTTGCAGTCCTTGCCCACCAACAACTTTATTTTTAAGAACATCAAGCACTGGAATCTGACCACAGGTTTTAAAGGCTCTCTCCTCCCCAATAAAGCTGCGTGTTTGCTGTTGTAATGCTCTTGGGCCCAAGCTGACTTATGACCTGGATGACCAAACTGTTGTTCAAGGCCAGGAACCACTCCAATGACCTCCACAGGCTGGAACCTTCCACTTAGCAACTAATGAACAATCCTGCTTGTGGTGGCTGGGGGGAGGGACATAACTGGAATTTCATCACTATGGCGTTTTAAAATAAATTATTTTGATAATCTGGGGTATATTTTATGTGTAATATCAAGCCAATTAAAGATACCAAATGTTACTACAACGTTTTTCCTTTCTTCCATTAATGATCCAAATGAGAATGAAGATTAAGAATTTTCTGCCAAAATATTTTTCCCACAGAAAAAGGGGAAGCTATGTCTAAGGAGGAAAAAAAAAAAAGCCACTATCTTGTTACATTTATTTCAACAATATGCAAATCTTCCTTCTGGATTCATATGAATCAGTACCATTTTTTAATTTGTATTGCATCTGGCACATTTCTATTGTAATAGAGGGCTGAAAAATAGTAAGAGTGATCTCAGAAATGTTTGTTAAGACAAATGAACTGCAATTGTAAATTGTTTTTCAGTACTATAAAGCTCCTGTCATCACCATCAAGAAACCTGGATCTTCAGGTACAATTATAAACTAAATTAAGTGATAAAATAGCTGTCTCAGCATCAATAAAAATATTCAGAATTATGATTTCTCTCAAAGATGGAAATTAGATTTGCAGAAAAGGTGTCCACCTGAAAACTTAGGTCCAAGTTGAACATAAGCCAGCAACATGCCCTTGAGACAACGGCGGCCAGTGTCCTGGGCTGCGTTAGGAGCACTGCCAGCAAATGAAGGGAGGTGATCGTTCTTCTCTGTTCCAATATTGGTGAGGGCAAACCTGGAGTACTGTGTCCAGTGCTGGGCTCCCCAGTATGAGCGAGAGATGGAGCTACTGGAAGGAGTCCAGCAAAGGGCCACTAGAACAACTAAAGGGCTGAAGTACCGCTCCTACGAGGAGGGGCTGAGAGAGCTGGGACTGTTCAGCCTGGAGAAGAGGACCACAGGGAACTTCATCAGTGTGTGTAAATACCTAAAGGTTGGATGCAATGAGGACAGCCAGGCTCTTTGCAGTGGTGCCCAGTGATAGGACCAGAGGCAATGGGCACACACTGAAACACAGGAGGTTCTATTGGAACATCAGGAACCAGTTTTTCACTGTGAGGGTGCCCCACCACAGGTTGCCCAGACAGGTTATAGAATCACCAACCTTGGAGATATTTAAATGCTGCCTGGACATAGTCCTGGGCAACATGTTCTAGGTGGCCTTCCTTGAGCAGGGAAGGGGGACAAGATGAGTTCCAAGGGTCCCTTCCCACCTCAATTATTGTGCAATTCTTCCATTTGTATCATACTTCAAAGCACAGCAATTTCAATAAAATACAACTTCATAAATATAACTAATTCAAGTTAACCTATAAGAATTCATAATACTTTGAAGTAGGAGTTGTCACTGTGCACAACTGCTATTTATACACTTCTGACAAGGCTAAGGAAAAAAGAAGTCATTCTGACTTCTGAAAAACAGTGACACACTCTGCTACGAAATGACACTATCTTTGATGGCACCAAAGTAACAGCTCCAGGCTGATTTCTGAATGTGAACTGGTCATGGACCAAAGCTATTTACCTTTGACTGGCACTTGCCACACGTACTTTAACCCCTCCAACTTCTGGTGCAATATACTCAGGTGTTTGTAGCCCCACCCAAAGAGCATACATGAACCACGCTTGGCTTTTTATGGTTCTTATTACCCAAACAACTTAGCAGAGCATTCTACAATTCCCAGCTAGAGAAGCATTCAAGAGTACATGCATGCCCGCAGTACCAAAAGGTAGTATCAAACCACTGAGCTAAAATCTATTTTACTTGCAGATAACATTTGTTGAGTATTGACTCAATTTAGACAAAAAAATAACTGATTTTACCAGTATCACATGAACATCTTGGTACACCACTGATGATATAAAGCCCTTTGTTACTAAAGGTTTAGAGAATAACTGC